AAAAAAAAAAAAAAAAAAAAAAAAAGCATAGGCAGTGTAATACTGTCATGCTCTATTCAATCGAATTATCTAATCACTAAAAAACCTCAACTAGCACAAGAAATTGAAGTCACTCAGGAACCTGCTACTTTGCAATACACAGTGCACCATTCATCATTTTGGCTGCATCACGCCAAAGTCAGCACAGTATCTGCATCTTTAGCTGATGACTGAACTACATGATTAGTTCTTATAACTGACTTGGGTACAGAATCTTAGACTGCAAAACTCAGATCTCTGAGGAAAGCTTTTTATGATGAAGTACAAGCTTTGATCTAGTGGAAAAACAACACGCCTTACTATTCTTAAGGGTTAGACTCCAATTCAGAAGCCTTTTTAAATGCATTATAATCAATTCAGAATACCAGCAGGGAAGTCACATGTAACATTACCATAAGATTTAGAACTCTAAGAGATCTAAAGCTGTTTGTCTGCACACACCAGCAGACAAAATTATCTACATGAGCTGCTGAAAGCCAGAAGACAGTTGGGCTGATGAGTTAAAAGGGAATGACTATCACATGCTCAGATACTTTGTTACACACTTCAGTAAAATGCTTTAGGGAATATGTGTGGTGATTATATAGGAGCCAGCTTCAACCTGATTCTCTAATAGTCTCTACATAAACCTGTTAAGATCCTCAGGTATTTAGAAATATTTGTGAATACAGGCATAGACAGCTGCAGAACACATTCCCAGGTCAAGGACTTCAGCAGTTTTGAGACCACGACACCCTTATGGACACTAAAATCTCTTATTTTAATGATTAACACTTAACTGAGATGTTAAATTCTATATCAGTCTGAACTTCTACTCCCACACTGGCTAAGCATAGCCCAGTCAAAAATTCCCTCAGTGTCAGACTACTTCTCTTCTTGGTCTTTTCTTTCTATTTAGGAAGGACCCCCAGCCCCTTGGAAACAGAATAGTCTAAACTACCGTATTAGACATTAGAGTTTGGAGTGCAAATTGCAAAACAGTTGTATCTTCCATTTTTGCTAGGGAAAGGTTAGTCAGGAGTTACATATGGAATATACCACATTGTATAATGGGAAAAATATTTCAGTGACAGGAAAAATTTTAATTCTTCAATCTATCAGCAATATTAGCAGAAGCTTCCAGGGAGCTCAGTCTTCACCTAGCAGTGTCCTAGATGCTATAAAATCTATAGATCTATTACTATAATCAAGACTGAAAGATATTGTCTTCTAGATCTTGAAATTAATGCATGGGCATATTGATAGGACTTCCCATAATGTAAATAAGTTCTGCCCAAACTTTGTTGCTAGTTAAGTTCCTGCCTAGCCTCTTGAAACATATTTCTTCATCAAAGCACGCAGTCTCAGAAACCAAGGGCTGAGGAGAAGTTAAACGCAAGCGTGGCAGCCTGCCAAACCCCATGATAACTGACAGTCTCCCCTCTTTAATCTTTGGAAACCGACACTTGCTAAAATATATTGAGAGCATTGTAGCAGCTTGTACCAATACTGTTAATTGATTTACAGAAAGTTAAAACTGATCCATAAAAGGAACACAAACAGAAGAAAAGCTTGCCAACTTTACTTGCTCTCCAAAACAGCAATTAGAAAATATTTTACTTTGCCCTGCAGGCCAGCAGCAGAAAGATCTATAGTGTGTTTCAGCATATGGCAGTAAGAAGCAGGCTTTTTAGTTTGAGGGATCATATTCGTAGTGTTTAAGATAAGCTTTAGAGCAGAAAGACCAGAAGCTGATGTACCACTGGCCTGTCACAGGGTTACAGCAGCCACATGTTATGTTTCCGCTTTTCTGAGCTTCCACTTGATAAGAGTTCATGGAAACAGCAACTACCAGTTGTTACCCTGTTTCTTCCATTAGCTTAAGTTTAAACACCAGCATCTGAGATAATTCTACTTTTTCATATCTAAGGAGACATTCTGAATGTGAAAGAGAGCTGCACATTAATACCTGGGCTGCACACAAAACTAGAAATGCAATACCAACTTGAGATGATTAAGGAGTTGAGGGGACAGACTTCTTAGGAGACCACAGCAAACCAGAGTTTGTTCTGTGGCATTTAACACCGAAGCATAAGCATAGTTAGCCATGACAGGTATACAGTTGGGGTCTTTAAAACAGTTAAAGAACAGTTTTGAATAATGTACAGGAAAGGAGTGACATGCAGTTTGGACAAGTCAACTGGGTCTTTCTGCTTCTGTGTGCTCAAAGTACCTTTCTGATACACAAACCCATGATTTGTGTGTAGAACTAAGCATAACACAAGCCCCACTCCCTCACTGCACATTTCACGCACACAAGTTACTTTTAAATTAAGTAGGTGGCTCCAAACAAGCAAAGTTTGAGCAGACTATTTCAGCTATGTGAGCTACCTTTAAGCTGTAAAGTGTGCTTACTAAACATAAGCTACTTGGAAAACATATTTATTTCCTCTAATAGTCTTAGAGAGCCATAACCACGAATGAATTTAAGTAGTAGTCAGAACCAATGCCACAAGTGCCTGGGCAGGCGTGTCAGGAGAAGTACGAGCAAGGATCCCTCCGGGAGCCGGCAAGCAGAGCAAAGCAGCTTTGGGGACCACTGTAAAACCCTGGGCCAAGCCAAAAGCCCCAACAACATCAGCTAACAGGAGCACACACAGCCTGGAAAAAGTCAGAAACTTCGCTCCCACGTTGAGACCTCCCTCTACTTACGCCTCAAACGCGGACAAGAAGGGCTGCAGGTAACAGGGGCAAGGGGAAAAACCAAAAGGCGGACTTGACAGTCGAAACGCTTCCTCCGCCGAGGCCGGGGCCGGAGAGCCGAGTTCCCAGGCCTCTGCCCGCCCTGCAGAGAGACGCCCGCCCCCGGCCCGTACCTGCAATATCCCAGAGCTGCAGCCGCACCAGGGTCTTGCTGTCCCAGTTGATGACTTTGAGCGCAAAATCCACCCCGATGGTGGCCCGGTAGTGCTGGGAGAAGAGCTGGTGCACGTACCGCTTGATAATGCTGGTTTTCCCCACGCCCAGCTCCCCGATCACCAGCACCTTGAAGAGATGCTCCCGGCACTCCGGCACGCCGGAGCCCGCTCCTTCCCCGCCGGCCATGCTCGGCCCTCCCGCGGAGCGCTGCGGGGCCC